TATAGCTTTTCCTCAAATAGATAAAGCCATTTTTAAAGAAAGAATCAGTCTTGTTGCTCTTTGCAAAAAGTCTTAAGAGAGGATGTCCACAAAAATCAAACATAAAGCGGCCACGACTGAAAAATCGATTTTGCTCAAATTTTGCCCAGATATACCTTATTATATCGGAAAATGCACCATATATTTTTTTAGGTCAAATGCTTTTTTAACTTTGAAAAAATGCCGTTTTAACACGACCACCCTAAATCGCCATTTTTTCTGGGAAAATATGCGCTGATTTTACAGATAAATTTCACGACGACAACCGTTTCTAATCGATCTAAAACCCTAAAAATCTTGTTTTTGGTTATTCAAAGGACTGTGTACATGACTTACAGGAAATCTGAGTTACTTTTAGGAATAGAAATAATCGTAGTTTTGGAGCACACTATCTTACTTCATTTGCGATACCCTCTTAACAAAATCGATTTTCACCATGCGATAAAGCTCCAAATCGATCATGCTTCTACTAGTTGGCTCTTGAATAAAAAAGCCTTCAATTGACGTAAATACTTCTTTTGGCAAATGAATACGCGATAAACGACAGCGCGTTGAAATCTTCCGTTTTTGACGTCTTGCAAGTCAAACGCTGTTAATTTATACACCGTCGTAGTAAACAATTTAATCAAGTATTCTAAGTATTTTACCTTTTGAGAAAAAACATATTCTTGAATGGGGACTTTTCACTTTGCTAAGTTTAAAAGTGGTCCAGAAATCCCAGTATATTTGTAAAAAAATCATCAAACATCCAGTATTTTGAGACATTGTTGACGGTTGCATGATAACTTCAGATCATTATTCAACGTGATCTACGACCCGCCGACCCGCCCGTTTGACTTTTAATAGCGCTAACATATACAAATCGATGAGCTATTTAAGGATTATATTTGCTACTAAATTCCCCAAAAGAATTGGAACTACAACTGCTGTTTTCAGAGGTTTTGATCCATTTTGTCCATATTAATGTACCATTTTATTTATCGACTGATGTTGACAAATACGTAAGTTAATTATTAAGCAGCTGTTAGCGTGCGTGTACATGTGAGATGAACGTTTATAATGTTTATCCAAATAAGGAGTTTTTATTTTTAGTTTACCAGCCTTTATATTTGAATAGTCGTTTTCTTTCAAGTTGTTTTCTTTTTTATACTCTGCAAAGTTGATTCCGAAATGTTAAGGTATTCGAAAAAACTATCGAACTTTTCCATGATATTTACAGAGAAACGTCACAGCTGTAAACCCCCCTCCCCCACCCCCAAAACGAACATATGACGTTTCTTGTGGAAAAATCGATATGTGAGGCTTCCTTAAAAATGCAAGGTTTACACTATTGAATTAAAATCCCACAGACCACAACGATTATACGTATTGATTGTTTCTTGACGATAGTAGACGCGTACGTGCATGTTGCGGAAGAGGTTATTTCGCTGGCCTCAGAGTGACAAAAGGTACTCTGGTTCTAGAGGTTTAAAATAATAAACCTCTGTTTGAAAGCGGCAATTAATTCACCGAGCCGCGCCAATCAGCTTGAATTAGGGTAGATAGTTATGATAAGACAAGGGCGGCGCCAGGGCCGCCCATGCAGGGAGGCAGCAAAGGGAGCAATTTTCTCCGCGACCCCAGCTCAAGGAAGACAGGCAAATACAAATTTGCAAGGCGATAAAAAGTTTGTCGACGGAGGGGGGTAATTGTGCATGGTTCACCGGGGCCCCAAGGGTATAATTGGCCCTGGGACCCCATATTTCACTGAGCTGGTTTGGGCTGCGCCAGTATTTCTCCGACGGTGGGAGTCATCAGTGCCCTCTTTTGATCTTTGTCAATTGGCATTAAAACCGCAAGAACTACCGACAAGTGACCAGGGCCGGATTAACGTCGCGCGAGGCCCGTGGCAAATTTTAGCGCGAGGCCCCCAAACCTCCCCCTTTCTTCTTTTTATGAAAACCATTGAATTTAAAGACACACAAAATTATTTGCATCAATTATAAACGAGATAATGGCCTGCCTAGCGCAGTTGGTGGGTATAAACAGGATCATAATATAACAGCTCAACGCAACTAAAGATTATATGAACATGAGTATTGCATATTTTCCCGGGGCCGTGCTAGGGCGAACTGCCAAGCCTAGGGGCCCTAAATGCGCGAGGTCCCTAAATTCGCGAGGCACCTAAAATGGGTGTATCCCAATAGAAAATGGCCGTATTCTCGTAAAAATGGGCGTAGCACAGTATTAATTAAGCGCGAGGCCCATGACATTTGCCGTATTTGGCACGTGGTTAATCCGGCGTTAAACGAGCAACAAGCTTTCATTTTCTTTAAACGCGACGTATGGGGAGACAATAATAATTTGTGATGTCGCACTGGGCCAAAATACTTAATGCTGTATTTTTGGGTACTAGTACTTGTGAAATATAATAAGATCAATAGACATTAGTGTATCAAAATAAAGTAATTTTACTGATTATTTTAACTGTGCATCAAAGTAAACACACATTATTCTAAACTACAGTTATGTATTTGCTATATGCCTATAATTTGAGTTTGAGGTGGTAGAATATATAATAAAATAACAAATCCTTGTATGGATAAATGTTCATTTCACACGTACGCTATTAACAGCTGCTTAATAATTAACTTATGTATTCGTAAACATTTATACTCGATAGTCGATATGTAAATACTAAATGGCACATTATATGGAAGTTCTAATTTTGGGAAAATTAGTAACAAATATAAAATCACTAAACAGCTCATCGATTTGTATGTTTGCGCTATTAAAAGTAGACAATATTGAACAATGATCTGAAGTTGTCACGTAACTGACAACAATATTATATTTCAAAATACCTGTATATGATGATATTTTACAAATATCTCGGGATTTTTGGACCAATTTTAAACTAAGCAAGGTAAAAAGTCTCCATTCAAGAATATATCTTCTCCTCAAAAGGTAAAATACTTAAAATACTTGATTAAATTGTTTACTTCGACGGTGTATAAATTAACAGCGTTTGACTTGCAAGACGTCAAAAACGGACGATTTCAACGCGCTGTCGTTTATCGCGTATTCATTTGCCAAAAGAAGTATTTACGTCAATTGAAAGCTTGCTTATTAAAGAGCCAACTAGTAGAAGCATGATCGATTTGGAGCTTTATCGCATGGTGAAAATCGATTTTGTTAAGAGGGTATCGTAAATGAAGTAAAATAGTGTGCTCCAAAACTACGCTTATTTCTATTCCTAAAAGTAATTCAGATTTCCTGTAAGTCATATACACAGTCCTTTGAATAACCGAAAACAAGATTTTTAGGGTTTTGGATCGATTAGAAACGGTTGTCGTCGTGAAATTTATCTGTAAAATCAGCGCATATTTCCCCAGAATAAAAAAGGGGGTTTTAGGGTGGTCGTGTTAAAACGCCATTTTCTCAAAGTTAAAAAAGCATTTGACCTAAAAAAATATATGCTGCATTTTCCGATATAATAAGGTATATCTGGGCAAAATTTGAGCAAAATCGATTTTTCAGTCGTGGCCGCGAAATGTCTCATATGTTCGATTTTTACTGACATTCACTCTTAAGCAATAGAGAATGTGAGAATATGGAATGAAGTAAGAAACCAGTACTTAAAAAATGCGACAAGTTCGTGCATGCATGAATTGTCAGGTTTACTTTGCGCACTTATTTCGATACGGATGTGTAATGATGTGTTAAGATAAGTCAATCTTGTCCCAGAGAAAGGTCGATAATATAATTAATAAAAAACGGCACTTGAATGGATAAACAAATAATTACTAATGTGGTATACTATGCTGACAATTTTAGAGATATCTCTGGTGGTGAATCGAAAATGATGTGACTGGTATTCCACAGTATTTCTTTCTTGTGTTTTGTGCGCGGGAAAGTTATATAAATGTCAGATAAATAAACAACAATCATTAATATAAAGACACAGTTTCTCAACAAGAAAAGAAGTAATTCAGACCTTGCATTTCCTTCCACAAACATCTTTCTGCTTCACGCACGTAACGCTTCTCGTATTCTCATCCTTCACACAATCAAACAATTCATCTGTGCAGTTTTTCTGTGAAAAACAAACATTCAGGCTAGTACATGTACCGCATGAAATCTGAAATATATTTACATTGTGAAAATAACATTTTCATAGTGCGTTAAATGATGTGATATAATACAAGACGCGAAATTAAATATCAGTTATTTTCGAATAGCCATGAATTATTAAATAATGAATTTCATGTTTCAATTAGAGACGCTATTCCGCCATCAATTACCAAAACAGACAACGCCAAAAATAGTCGTCTGGAATGTTTTCTGTGTGAAATTTTGAGGGGTCCCCCAACCAATCCCTGAAACTTGTCGCCCTAATTAGTGATCAAACAAACATTCATCTACACTAATAAAAAAGATAAAAATATGACTGCTCTCACAGAATAGGTAAAAAGAAAATTAAAATTAATACTATCACATTATACATACCCAACAAGTCAGAACATCTAAGCTGATATTCCTGGAGAGACTCTATATCAATAAAATATTCAGAATCACCATCTTCATATTCGACAGGTATATGAATGTAACTGTTTAATTAAATTAAAATGATTCTATATGCAATATTGCATGATTAAAATTGTAGGATGGAGACATCAATCAATTAATCCCCGAGCCGGCGGCGCGAAGCGCCGTGCGAGGGTACTAATTCCCCCCGGCTATTTACACCCGGGGAAACGAAAGCATTAGGGAAGTCTAAAGTTCATCAATGAGCGCGGGCGTCGGTCACCAACGATGGGTGGTCATCCTCACTGATCTCAAAAATATGGCGGACTGTCATGAATAGCGGACACTGATTGGTCCAATTTAAATTTTGCATTATAACGACTGCATGACGACAGCGAAATAGCAAACATTTCTTGATTTGATGATTGATAAATTTCTTGCAAATATATTTCATTTTTGCTCGTATTTCTGCAAGATTTTGTAAATTTCAAGAAAGAAAGGGCGAAAGAATCAGCTAAAAGAAGCGAGCCGACGTTAACGAAGGTAAGTTTGTTTTAAATATTGATTTTATAATGGCTTTAAAACCCGACGGCCTTTGCGTATATGAAACAACTAAACAAGACAGCATATATAAATTTCGGTGTAACTTTAATATTGATTCGCTTTTTTATTATATTGAATTTATTAAATAAAAAATAAAGCAAAGACCAAAGTTATTTGCAAGCGAGAATTTAAAATCATTTTATTGCAAACTCAAAGTTTATCGATAAAGCCATTTAATAGTTAAAGGCAGTTTAGTTTTATAAAGAACACTTTAAAACGTTTTGTGAATTGTTTGTGGTTGAATTTTACCTTAAATTGAAGCTTGTATTACGTATAATTACATACCTAAAATATATATGGTGGGAAATTGATAATTTTGTAATTAAAAGTGATATTTTTAGGCGATTTTCATTTGTAAGAATATTGTAAGAACATTTGTAAGAATATTGTTACCATGACAACTACTCTAGATACAGTATGTTGTCCAATTTTCGGACAGTACCACTACTCGGACGAAATGTTTTTATCGCCAAATTGTTCTATGAAGAATAGCAAAAAAATAAAAATCAATACGTTCAGATGATTGCCTGATATGTCCTGAATCTTGCTGTATATTTTCGACGTTTTTGCTGTTGTTTTGTGCAAACTTGAACACTTTGAGTAAAGGTCAGTCGAAAATATTTTCTTAAAAATGGCGTAGTTCATGACAGCGCGATCAGGCAAGTACACTTCAGGAGATTGTTTTGTGAAAATATACTGCCGAATCATTATTTTTTAGCTGAAGGGATGATTATATAAACCGAAAATTTTACCACAACAATAATTGTTGCTCCTGTCATAAAATTTAAGAAGTTTCGGACTTTTAAATTAAGAAACAATTTTTGAGGAGCTTATCAATACTCGGACGATGGCTTAGAGTTGACAATCTTATGACTAAAATCACGAGTATATTTAACAGAATTATATATTTAAAATGTTTAAAGAGTGTACAAGTTGTTTATGTTTTGATAAACTTTCGATTTCGATAATTTTGTTGACTTTAGTTCAATGCGAGTTTGGATATTATTATGTGAATCTATCCACCAGGAATTGTATATATCATAAAGTGAGCTTTACTTGCGAGTAACCTGACTGAAATTTCATACTAGAATATGGTTCAAAGAATCATAAAATTTATTTGTATAACATAGTCAAGCCTTAAATTCCAGTACTTATCAAAATACAGCTTACCTTCGAGAGAAAAACGGCTATTATTATGAGTGTCCGAATAGCAGACCAGATGTCCGAAATGTGGTGATGAAAATGAAGTACTTGTTTTCAATATTACAGAAAAAATAAAGAACTTTAGCGATGTATCTCTTAGAGTAATGTAGCCATGGGAAGTGGTCGTCATCTGTACAAATTTGAACATGCTAAACATCTTAAATCGCAAAATATAGTGTGAAAACACTTTACTGTCCGAAAATTGGACAACATACTGTACTTCCTGTTCGGAAAATACAACGGTTTTGTCAGCAAGGCGAGGGTTTCTGCATGCATGTATTTTCTAGTTAGGTTTTATTTAAGCACGATGAAATTTGCATCGTTGCTGATGTGCAACACATGAAAAACATTAAGCAATTACTGTAATTGGCTGACCGACACGGAAAACTTTGACCATGGATAGTATTAGTGTCACAAAAGCTAATGTTGATATAATTGAAACTTGTGACGCGCATTTTACCATTGAATGGTTGATATTTCCCTGAAATTGTTCAACAATATTTTTATATCCATCGCCGAGTAGCATGGCTGTTTTCTTACTGTTTCTGTTAAAATGCTCAGCTGTATAATTGATGAGCGTGGAATTGTTTCAATTTAGATCATGTTGTTTTCGCTTCAAAAATTTCGTGGGCTTTCTATGAAGGCGGATCTCCACTAGACGATATTTGAGACGATCGCCAAAACAGCCCGCGACGGAACATGCTCAATTGAAAACAAATATTAGAAGAGCGATCGTCTAGCGCTCGACGAAAAGAGGGATCGGCTTCTACTATTCATCGAGCGCCAGACGATCACCAAATTTTTAACCAATATAAGTTTACGCACTCTTTTCCTTGCTGCTAATTCGTCTTCACTTATCTCTAAATCGTTGGAACTCTATGGAACGCATAGACGAACGCGCTCTGAATGTATTTCTGAGTTATTTCAGGGCGGTATTGTACTTCGTTAGTAAGCTATACCTTTTAGAGACATAAAAAACATGTGTACCCCTCCGATCTCGATAAGGAAACCTGAACATACCTTTCTGCAATCTTGTAAGCAATCTTTTAATTTCTCTATGCATTCACTGCGGGTAGAACTACCATTCGTACATTCAATTAGATCAGCAAAGCACTTTTTCTACAAAATAAAGCGAAACGTTTTCGGTACTCGTTATGCATGATAATTGTATTATTATGTTTGCGATGTTACTCTGAGTGCATATCCACATCGGGCGAGCTTGAAAAATATGCCCGGCCACGGTGGGATCCCACGGTAGGATCCCACCGTGGCCGGGCATATTTTTCAAGCTCGCCCGGTGTGGATATGCACTCAGAGTAACATCGCAAACATATTATTCACCTGAGTACACAACACCAACACAGAAAAATACAATTGTATTATTGTAACAAATTCACAATTCTTACAAAACAAATCTTGCCGTCTTTTTTTCGACGATCTTTCCCACCACGATCATCTCTCTTATCGTCTCTGTCGTAATCATTGTCATCGTCGTCCTTGTCACTCTTTCCCCGACCACGTTTTCCTGCCCTACGATGATCTCTCTTTCCACCGCGTTTGTCTTCTCTATCTTTGTCGTCATAATCCCTGTCGTTATCATCATCATCACAGTCATCATCATCGTCCCAATCATTCCTAGCTCGACCACGCTTTTCTCCCCTACGATTATCTCTCTTTTCATTGCTTCTATCTTTATCATTCCTATCGTAATCGTCATCACAATCATCATCATCGTCCCAATCACTGTTTCCCCGAACACGTTTTCTTCCTCTATTATTATCTCTCTTTCCATCGCCTCTATCTTTGTCGTCATCACGTCTGTCATAATCGTCATCACAATCATCATCATCGTTCCAATCACTCTTTCCCCGACCACGTTTTCTTTCCTTACGTTGATCTTTCCTTCCATATTCTTTATCATCATCATCTTTATATTCCCGATCGTCCTAGGTGATAAATGATTAATTTATAACTCTCTTAAGAAAGCATCGAATAATGAAATAGCCTTGCTTCAAAAGGATTTTCATTGAGGTATGATGAAGGGCAGGATATATCACGATTCACGCAAGTTTTTTTTCGAAAACATGAAAATGCGAGCGAGATCTAAATCTTGTGCAGCGGCCTTTTTATTTAATATATTTTATCATAAACTTATCACAACAACAACACAGAAAAATCATGTTTCGCTCGCTACTCTGGTTTAAATAAATTATTACAAAGCCCAGTCGAACTGTAATCAAGACCCAACGTTTCGACACTCCAGTCTAGTGTCTTCATCAGGGGTGATCTATGTTGCATGTTGATCTCCTACCACGGGACCTCCTTACGGGAGATGGAAATTAGGGGGAACGTTGTTGTTTACGTGTAATGGGACACGAACATACAGATATATAGATATAGTGATATACACAAAGAAATGGACTAATATAACATAAATAAGAACTTTACATGGTGACAGAAGTGGGATCCTTGACTCTGGATATTTAGTTAGTACATTTGAAAAGTTTTAAAAAGTAATTTTACTCAAACGAGCAATAACCAGTGGCGATGGCTGAACGAATAATTGGGCTATCGCCTCCGTCTCCGTTCGCGTTCGAAGGAAATCTTGCTGAATCGTGGAAGCAATGGCAAAAGGCCTTGGACTTTTACCTAACAGCTACGGAATCGGATTCAAAATCTGACAAGGTAAAAACTTCAATTCTCTTGACGTGTATAGGCGAAAAAGGGCGCGAAATTTATGACACTTTTGAGTTTGAAAATGCTGGCGACAAATTGAAACTAAAACCTGTTCTCAAGAAATTTGAAGAGTATTGCAATCCTCGTAGCAACACTACCTTTGAGAGACACAAGTTTTTTACATACCGCCAGGAAGAAGGACAAACTTTTACTAGCTTTGTGACAGAACTGAAGAAACGCAGTGCAGCGTGTGAATTCGATACTTTGAAAGACTCGCTTATTAAAGACATGATCATTTGTGGTATCTCTGACAATGCCCTTCGTGAGAGAATGCTTCGTGAGCCTAACATCAATCTACAAAAAGCAGTCGAGCTTGGTCAAGCCTCCGAGCAAACCAAACTACATGCTCAGCAACTTACTGAAGACATGGAAAAGAAAATCCACAAAGTACACAGGCAAAAGCGAGAGAAGGAAAGGCGAGACAAAAACCGAGATAGGTTTAAATCTCATTCTCCAGAAAGAGATAATTTAATAAAGAACTGCAAATTTTGTGCAGGTCGACACCAACGTGGAAAATGCCCGGCGTATGGTCAAAAGTGCAACAAGTGCCAACGTAGAAATCACTTTGCCAGGTGCTGTAAACAAACAGTGCATCAAGTCGATGACTCTCAAGATCGTGCCTCCTTTGAATCCTCTTCAGAAAGTGATTTTGTTATCGAAAGCCTCGTTGCAACTGAATCTGAAGCAGCCTCTGAGGTTCAACAAGCACTTAAAATTGATCCTCTCAATAGCGACACCTCTGCGGGACACTGGTCTGTCACTCTTAATGCAGGCAGCCAAGACATTCCCTTCAAAATCGACACAGGGGCCCAAGTGAACGTGTTACCCAAGAAACTCTACAACAAGTTAAACCCTCGCCCACGAATCAAACAAACATCAACCAAGTTGTCCGCCTACAATGGGTCCTCCATCCCTGTACATGGAAAATGTATTGTCCCTATTCAGTATAAAGGACAAAAACACCACCTTCTCTTTATCGTCGTAGCTTCACAGACCACACCCATCCTAGGTTTGGCCACTTCAGAGCGACTCAATCTAATCAAGCGGGTCTACAAAATAACTGATACTAACATTGAGGAAGCTTATAGCTCCAATATATCTGAAGAGTACGCTGACTGTTTTGGAGAGATTGGCACACTCAAGTCCACCTATCACATGACCTTGAAAGATGATGTCCGTCCAGTAGTGGTACCTCCTCGAAAAGTACCGTTTGCTCTTAAAGATCGACTGAAGAAGGAATTAGACCGCATGGAGAGCATGGGTATAATTGAAAAAGTCGAAAAATCCACAGACTGGGTCAACGCCTTAGTTCTTGTCGAAAAACCCAACGGAAAGCTTCGCGTTTGCCTAGACCCGCGTCCATTAAACCAAGCAATCAAACGCCAACACTACCGTCTGCCTACTACAGAAGAGATAATCTCTCAAATGAGTGGTGCTCGATTCTTTAGCAAACTCGACGCAAGCAACGGGTACTGGCAGATTGCAGTCGACGACTTCACATCAGATGTTCTCACGTTTGGCACAGCGTTTGGCCGATACAAATTTAAGCGTATAACCCTATGGAATTCACTCGGCTAGTGAGATATTCCAACTCGAAATATCCAAGATCATCGCTGGCTGCGATGGTGCTGCCAACTCGCAAGACGATATAACCGTGTGGGGTGAAACAAAAGAAATTCATGATCAACGGCTGAAGAAGGTCCTAGACAAAATTCGAGATAGCGGATTGAAGCTAAACCATGCAAAGTGTATTTTTGGTGCAACGGAGCTTACCTTTCTGGGTCACATCATGTCCGCAGATGGAGTGAAGCCAGACCCAAGAAAGATTGAAGCAATTACCAAAATGCCCGTTCCAACAAGCCCTGCCGAACTTCAGCGTTTTCTTGGGATGGTGAACTATCTTGGTAAATTCATCCCAAACCTATCAGACGAAACTGCACCATTACGAGCCCTCTTGAAGAAAGGAACCGAGTTCTTAATGCAGAAACCCCAAATTGATGCCTTTGAAAAGCTCAAGCGTCGGATTTCATCTGCTCCTGTCCTACAGAGCTACGACCCAAATCTCCCAACTCATATTCGGACAGACTCTAGCTCTATTGGGTTAGGTGCAATGCTTGAGCAACGCATAGATGACTCCTGGCATCCCATTGCATTTGCCTCCAGAACACTCGAAAAATCAGAACAAAATTATGCTCAGATAGAACGTGAAACTCTTTCAGTCGTATTCGGATGTGAACGGTTCCACGAATACCTCTATGGTCGAGAATTTATCGTACACAATGATCACCAGCCCCTAAAAGCCATTTTCTCCAAAAGCATTGTTCAGTGTCCTCCTCGCATCCAACGGTTCTTTCTGCGCCTACAAAAGTATGACTTTTCATTCGAATATGCACCCGGAAAGACTATGAAGGTGGCAGATGCCCTCAGCAGAGCCTCATTACCTGGTCAACCGGAAATTACCCCTGAAGATATTGCTCATCATGTTCACTCAATCATCAACCAGCTACCAATCAGCCAGTCAAAACTCTCTCAGCTTCAGCGCGAAACAGCAAACGACCTAGTTCTACAAAAGCTCAAACAATACACCGTCAATGGTTGGCCATCCGATGATAACATTGATAGTTCCGTGAAACCTTTCTACAGCCAGCGTCACGAAATTGTGTACAATCATGACCTTCTTCTCAAAGGGCGACAAATCATTGTGCCGAAATCCATGCGTCCTGAAGTCCGAACCCTTCTTCACCAAGGACACCAAGGCATTGAAAAGTGCAAGAGTCGAGCCCGGCAAGCAGTTTATTGGCCTGGAATCAACCATGAGCTAACTGTTCTTGTCTCTCAGTGTGCAACGTGCACAAATCATCGAACCGACAGCAAAAGGAAACACTGATACCACACGACGTGCCTGACCAACCGTGGGTCAAAGTTGGTACAGATCTCTTCTCGCTCCATGGTCGAGACTACCTAATAGTCGTTGATTATCACTCCAAATTCTTTGAAGTAGCCCACATTGCAAAACCCGTCGAGGCACCTGCCGTAGTTCGTGAAATGAAGAAAATATTTAGTCGTCATGGTATCCCACAAACAGTGTTCAGTGACAATGGCCCACAGTACACTGCCGCATCCTTTAAACGATTTTCACGAGAGTGGGACTTCCAGCACGACACGTCTAGTCCTCACTTCCCTCAATCAAATGGCCTCGTTGAGAGAACCATCCAAACGGTCAAGAAGTCACTGAAGAAAGCTGAAGAATCCCACAGCGATGTGTATCTTTCCATGCTCGTGCTCAATACAACCCCACACAATGATGGCCACTCTCCAGCCTACAAAATGTATCAAAGAAACCCTCGCACCACCCTTCCTTCTGGATCAACCCAGCCACCGTGCCCGGTGTCGCCAAGGCACAAGGTCAAGCAATCTTATGATCAGCATGCCCGCATCTACCAGCTCTACTACCTGGCACTACAGTTCGCGTACGAACAGATAAAGACACCAATTGGTCAAAAAAGGGTAAAGTGGTAGAGAAGTGTAGTGAACCTCGATCATATCGTATCCTGAATCAGCAGGGAAACGTTGTTCCTCGAAACAGACGACATCTGCTTCCAACGAAGGAGACATTTAAAGTTGAGAACAACGACGATTATGACGACCTGAAATTGTCAAGTAGACCATCCACCTCCAACCAATCTAATGTGAAAGTTAGCAGAAACAATCCGATAGTAACATCTCGGTCAGGTCGACAATTAAAGAAACCCTCAAGATATGCAGACTAGAAGACACCTTCATAAATTAAGTGACCGTTACATTATATACATTGCAAGTTACTTATTCATGTTATGTTCATGTTGAAAAGGGAGATGTTGCATGTTGATCTCCTACCACGGGACCTCCTTACGGGAGATGGAAATTAGGGAGAACGTTGTTGTTTACGTGTAATGGGACACGAACATATAGATATATAGATATAGTGATATACACAAAGAAATGGACTAATATAACATAAATAAGAACTTTACATGCTCTACGAATCCTGAAACGCCATGGTGTTCCAGTAAAGAATCTAATCTCCATCTTTTGTTCATTCATTCGTCCAGTGCTTGAGTATGCATGTCAAGTTTGGCACTCTTCTCTGCCATTGACGTTATCAGATCAAATCGAACACATTCAAAAACGAGCTTTAAAGATTGCGTTCCCACACCATTCATACGCTGAAGCCCTTGATAAAGCAAAACTAAAAACACTTCAAGAACGAAGAGAAATTCAGTGTCTGTCCTTGTATCAATCTATTTTAAAAGATGACAATAAACTAAACAATCTTCTCCCAAGTCCTATTACACGTAAGTATAGTTTAAGGAATCCAAGGAAATATCCTCTATTTAAATGTAGGACCGAACGTTTTCGAAGTAGTTTTATTCCGTACTGTGTTGCAAAGTGGGATTCTCTGTGTAGTTAGTAAACTTACATGCGTGAAGATAGTATAGTATATAGTAAAGTATTATCATGGCATATTTTTTAAATAGTAGTATTCCAAATTACGTATTTTTAATCATGTAGTATTATGTAATTTCAAGTTTTTCAGATTGTCAATCATTTGATAGCAACCTGCCATTTGAAAATTTCAATAAATTCAAATCCAGGTTATCATGATCACTGTTGAAAACCGATGTGAAGTAGCGATTGAATAGATTGGCAATAGCAGTAGGAGTAGACACATCTTAATTTTGTGATGATTCAAGTTCAACAGCCTGTACCATTGACATAATATTTGGACCACTTGATTGTTTATTGTTCGGCTTAAACAGGGACGCTGGAGCGACGGGGACAGCACGGGGGCAATAGGTTGCCCTTTTGCCAGAACTACACCTCGAAATCTGTGCATTATTCACAGGAATTGGAGTTTAGAACTATTTTTGTGGCTAGCCCGAGAACAGGCTAGCCACAATGTAACGCTGAAAATGTTTGTAAGATATGTGAAGTTGTGACGGAGATAGTCGAATTTACTTGGTAAACTGTCGTTCATGGCATGAGGCGACGATATTTACAGATGAAGTATATACTTAATCTATGATTTTAAATCCCACAGAATAGGTATTTAGCGACTTTAATAATACTGGCAGATGCCTCACTTAGCAAATTTACAGTTGGTATTAAATCCCACAGAAAAGGTTTTTAACGACTAGCAAATTTACAGTTGGAAACACAGGCAGAAATGCTCGAAGAAATTTTTCACAGCAAACGGTAAGTTAATTTTTGTTATTTCAATCGATATTTATGTTTAGGCAGGCCTAAAATTTGTGAATCTGTCATTTAATTTTATAATATATTAAAACATTGTTGACATTATCGTTGCTATTCATAACTGCTGTGGACTATGAATCTGGTCAAAGAGATTTTGATCACGCTTCATATAAAGCATTATAGTGAGTTTATAATACCGGTACTGTTTTATAATCAAACGTGCTTGCACAGATCTTGAATTTTAATATATCATTATGTGGGTAAATTTATAAGAAGCAAGCCCATTGCTGGCATATACTACAGCTCCCTTATCCACTTGCAGGTATAAAACTACAATTAACACAGAATGTTGGACTATTTTATATTACCATAGTCTTTTATGGTCACTGGCATTGCACTGACTGCAAATTAGTAGGTGCTAATATTATTGAGATGCCGATTCGTGCAATGGAAGCTCAGTCTGTTTAATAATAATTAATAATTTAATACTTATAGCGCGCAAATTTACATTCGAATATGATCAAATGCAAACAATTGAGGGATCTTGAGTACAGTTGAGGGATCTAAACGTACAGTTGAGGGATCTTGTAGATGAAAATAATTGAGTGAAAATGTATTTACATTCATTAGACCTAAGCAGGAATCTAAGATCAGCAGGTACGCAGTGATCGACGAAGGGTTTGGGGTTGTAAATCCCATTGTTAAAATTCAAGTATAAATTTTGACATTTTCAGGTAAAATTTTCATATAATTAATAAAGATGTTATTTTTGTGAAATGATATCCACTTTTGATACAGTCAATTTAGATCCAATTTTTTGCAAATGTGCTTTAGAAAATACCAGAAATGTAGAAGTGGAGCTTCAAAAATGTAAACATGTCACAGTGGAAATCAATCAGAAAAACCTCTATAATTATTATATGTGTACTTTGGGTAGATTTTTAACATTGAAGTTCAGATTTCAGATAAAGTTCTCCGATATCCCCCAATGTCAGATGCTTTGCTACGTCCCTGCAGATCAATGCAATCACATACAACACTAACCCTTGCAGTTGTGCCGGTATAATAATGAAAAAGCAAACGCACAGCCATTGTACTGAGGTCATATCGACAAGTTTCAACCTTTCTTTCCAATTTCAGCATTTAATAACAGTGCTCAGTGTCAATTGAGTAGCATGTGTTCGTACTTTATAGCTAGAGTTAAATGTTGTTTAAATTATATACCTGTGTCATGTGCATCTTTTACAATATTTCATTTGCAGATAAAAGCACAATTCCAAATCATAGTGATGCATGACTGACATCTACAGTACTTCAAACAACCATGTCAACACATATTCTGGACAATTTGCTGATAATATGGCGACTGGTGATAATATTGAATATGCAAGTATCAGGGCAATACAACTATCAGACCATGGCCAGAAATCACGGACAAAATGGCGGCTAATTCGATTTCTTATGCGCACAACGAACTTATTTTACGAAACCAAGATGGCGGATATTATACGGTATTCTATTACAAACAATATAAAATCGATGCGCACAATGAAATATAGAATGATTTGCATGTTCCACACGTCTACAAATACTATTACCTACCTGAAAATATAGCTCTCGAGGGTTTTGACCTCTCACGATTTGCCATTAGGCGGTCCGAGTAAACTCGATTCAAAACATTTCCACGCAATATAAGCTTATATTAAATTCAGCAAATCCTCCCTACTCGTTCACATTTAGTCTGTTATAACACTGTCTTAAACGTTTGCCGACAACTTCCACACGTCTACATCTCTTGTACGATGTTCGATCTGCCATGGCGTATAAGTTTTAAAACACCAGAGATTTGAGCTAAGCGGCCCCAATACTTTCAAATTGTCTGTTTTGAGGCAAAATAAAACCTGAAATTCCTCTCATTGCGAGCGGTTTAGGGTCGAAAAAAACTCAAAACGTTGCCAAATACGACGCAGAAAATGCGTTATTGCTTCGCCATTTTATAATCAAATTAATGGGCAGCCGCTGACTAACAAGTGCGAAGGAAAAAGGCTCCAAAACAAAAGAAATTGCGGTAAATGCAAATATATTCAAATTTCTTTGGTCTTCTAAAGTTTAGAATGTTGTATGATCTACGTTATAGTTTTAAGAAATTCATTCTTGCAGTCTTTCACTTATATAATAATCTATCGCTGGATCAAATTTATATTTAACTCTTTGTAAATAGACATTGTCGACTGTATTTATAAAGTTTGTTTATAGGAGATTTAAAGTCGCGCGTATGTCACGGGCGCGCGTGGGAACAGTTTCTGCGCCCACAATTAAAACCGCTGACTGTCCGTGATTTCTGGCCATGCAAAAGTTTTAGTGGTGATGACATAATTGATTGGATGAGTTCATTATAAATTCCGATGCTTTTAGATCTTACAATAAATAAAAATGTTTAGAAATCTAGTATTAAATATTATATTAATGAAGAACTTTGAATTTAACCCATTGCACCCTACGTTTTTACTTGTTTAACGCCAAACCATTTTACTCGTCAGTGGGAAAGCAGCTTAATGGGTTAAAGGTTTTATGAAATCTGCAATGCCAACAATTCAAGAAAAGCTAATAACTTGTAAACCAGACACCAGAATATATTTATAACAAGAAACACATGTAATGAAATCTTAGTGAATTGCATATTAGTGAAATTTTGAAAAACAATTAAAGCGACATCATTAGCTGCTGAATATATGCTTATTATTAAAGTGTGATTCGATAATATCGTTGGCTGAACCATTGCTACAAACCACATTGCTTTTAAATCGAGTGATTGTAGCCATTTGTTGGCATTGTAAGAAAGATACTGCATCTGTTTTATTTTGTATTATTAATGTTGTATCACAATGAATGTTTGTGATGAATGTTTGTGATGAATGTTTGTGATGAATGTTTGTGATGAATGTTTATGACAATGTGAACTCCAGCTGTATTCGACAAGCTGAATAGGCTAGACACAGGTACGCAGTGCGTACCTATTTTTTGCTGTTTTTAAACAAAGAATTTGTTTACATTTCGGCATGGAATATATACAATTTTATTCGATAACTATTTATATTTTTATGATTCTAGAGCATAATAAATTATCAAGACACTACAATCAAGCTTTGCAAGAACATAAAATGAAATAAAAACCTAAATAAACTGTTTGTATAATAGAAAGAGAGCTCCCTTGTGCCCATACGCAGATCGGACTCTACAGCATATATTTAAGCAATCTTTGCTTAATTTTAAACCTGATGTAGTAAAATTAATGCTATTTACAGGGGCGTAGGAAGCGTCAAAAAGTAAGGGGAACACCGGTTTCGAAGGGCATTTTTGGAATCAAAAGGGCATCTAAAAATGTTTCCCCGTAAATGTCGCCGAAGGGCGAGAAGGAAAAATAAATGCAATCGTATTGAAATCAAAGACTGTTGAGGCCGATTCAAAGATGAAATTAAATGAAAGTGGCAGAAAGAATTAAAGCAGTTTGATAGTTTTTTTGCAAACTAGCATC